TTTTTTTGTTTTGTTTTGGTTTTGTTTTTTGTTTTTGTTTTTGTTTTTGTTTTTTGGTGCTCCAAAAAGAGCTAGCAAATGCTGCTCCTTTTTGGAGCGGCACAAAGCTGCCCTTAGCACTGCCGCTGCCCCTCTTTTGCGCCCCTTTGGCGCAGCGTATCTACATGCTGCACCAACGGAGCGCCCTGACACCGCGCGCCATGTGGTGGGGCACGCAGCATGATGGCGGAGTCGGGGCGGTCGGAGTGCAGTCACCCTGCCCCAACTCCACTCCTTTTGGCCAGTCTGCATAGGCCCTGTCTTCCCATCTGACATGTGGTTTTCCTCTCTTTTTACAACCCTCTACCTTTCTTAGCATTATTGTCCTTTCTAAGGAGCTGTGCCTTCTCATGATGTGAACAAAGTTCAACAGCTTCAACTTGATTATCTTGGCTTCCAAGGAGATTTCAGGCTTGAACTGTTCCAGGACCCATTTGTTTGTCATTTTGGTTGTCCACAGTATCCTCAGCACTCTTCTCCAGCACAACATCTTAAATGAGTTGATTTTTTTTTTCTGTCTGCTTTCTTTACTGTCTAGCTTTCACATCCATACATAGTGATGGGAAATACAATGGCTTGAATTATTCTAACTTTAGGACTCCATTGTATTTATGTATTCTTTAGCAACTTGTCTAGTTCTTTCTGTGGTAATTATTTTTGTTTTCTTTATATTCAGTGTTAAGCCTGCCTTGCACTTTCATCCTTGACCTTCCTTAATAATTGTCCCAAGTCTGTGATGATTTCAGTTAGTATTATGATGTTGTCCACATAACTTAGATTGTTGATGTTCTTTTTTCCTATCTTCATTCCTCCTCCTTCTGAGTCTAAACCTGCTTTTCTTACACCATCATATATAATGGGATTTGGGCATCCAGATTTTGGTACCCATAGGGAATCCTGGAACCAAACCCCAGCAGATACCAAAGGTCCACTGTATTATAGTAATGCTACAAGAGATGATCTGCCCACAATTTCAGAAGCATCACAAATTAATGAACACAGATTGTAGGAGCACTACCCACAATCTCAGAAGCACCAATGACTGAAAGCAGTCTGAAGAACCACTGCCCACAATATTAGAAGTGGTGATTCTGAAATTGTGGGCAGTGCTCCTTCAATCTGTGTTCAGACCATGGTGCTTCTGAGATGTGGACATTGCCTCTCTTACAGTATTACTGTAGTACAGTATTTGTGCTTATAATGCTGTATAGCAGTGATGGTGAACCTTTCAGAGACTGAGGGGGGTTGCAGACTGCCAGAAATAGTGCAAATTGAGTCCACTTTTAGGGTTAGGGTTAGTGCTAGGGAATCATGGGAATTGTTTTTTTTTTTTCTGAGACATTGAGCCTTCTCTGTCAGAGAGCTCTGGTGCCACAATAAAATACAGTTCCCATGATTCCCTAACCCTAACCCTAAAAGTGGGCTCAATTTGCACTATTTCTGACAGTCTGCAACCCCCCTGAGTGTCCAAACCTAGAGGTGTTCCAGGGGGTGGAACTTCCAGGGGGGGAACGGACTTCTGGGATGACTTCTGCCTTCTGTGGGGTGGGACTTCCAACTTCCGAGGCCTCTTCCCCCCACCTTCCTGTCTCTCTGTGTGCCCTCCAAAATAGCTTCACATGCTAGAGTTGGCACACATGCCATAGGTTCGCCAACATGGCTGTATAGTATTCATAATGGCAGCTAGGTGCAGTGATATAGCAAAAAGAGACTATAAGATTCTCAGTTTTTAAGAAAAGCTAGCACTAATCAAACATATAGTTAGAAAGGTATGTCCATGAGTGAAAGAGGCCACAAGTTGGGCATACCTCACTCAACAGTTAGTAAAATTGTTAATAATAAAGCCATGGTGTTAGACAAAATTAAAAATACTATGCTACTGCATACTAAAGTTATTAATCTTGTTTGAAGTTGACAGTAGGATATTAAAGGAAACCTTTTGTCGTTTTACTTTTGTTGTTGTTGCCTTCAAGTCATTTCCAGCTTATGGCAACCCTTTGCTGATTATGGTTGGGGTAAAACCAAGAACACCCAGAGGGTGGCATGATTTACACCCCTGCAGTACATGCAAACACACATAACAATAGCAGAAAAATTGCTTCTTCTAAACCAGAGTTTGGCAACATGTGGTCTTCCAGATGTTGTGGACAGCATTTCTGATCATCTGTCAGCATTGACTGTGCTGAATACAGCCAATGGTTTATCTGAATAATTCACTTTACAATTATTAAGTGTTAAACTGTATTGATTCATGATTACAGCCTTGTTAGGCAAGGGAGTCATATGACGACTCAGTTTAAAAGACTCCTGTGATTGTTTTCCATTGCCAAGAATATGGAAAGAACAAAAAGCAGAGAAGAGTCACACTAAAAGTGTATCAAAACTATCTTTTCAACACTTTTTCTTTTTTCTTTTTTTCGCTAATAAACTGTGAGTTGCCAAAATCAACAATTCAAAATTCCCCCATTGCTACAACTGTTGAACTTTCTAGTATTTTTGTGTCAGTCTATCAGTGTAATCTGGGCACCCTGCTGATCTGTAAGCAATTCACTGCATTCATTCAGTATGCTTTGCCTAAAACTATCAATACATCTAGGAGAGAGCAAATGCACCACACACAAGAAACACTTGGAGCACAAAGAAAGAGCACAATCATTAGCAGGCAACTTAAAAGCTCTGAAAAGAAAGTTGGCACAGTCCCACATACCGGTACTAGCAGAAGTGTCAGATTAGTTAAGGAAATGAAAAGAATTTTGTTGGATGGAGACAATGCATTTTATTTATAACCTGCCTTATTTTCCAAAACTGAGATCCACAAATATTCAATATTCAGCTAACAAATATTGCTGAAACATAAAAAGGTTAACATTAAACTGTCAATGACATTAAGTAGAATTTAAAATGTATAATTGAAGTGTGAAAAGCCATTAAAAGCAGTTCAATTAAAATAGTGCAGCACACTTTTAAAAAGAAAACAGTTCTCAAAAGCTTATTAGAATTCTTTTTTTAAAAAAAAAAGTCTTTGCCTGCTGACAGAAGACAGCAAGGAAGGGGTAATTTTAGCCTCTCTAGGAAGAAAGATCCAGAGTCTGAGTGCAGTTACCAAGAAGGCCCTGTCTCATGTTCAGATCAGTCATAGCTTTAAAGTTGGTGGAACTGAGAGAAGGGCATCTTGGGGAATTTCAGGGGCCAACCTGAAATACAGGATTGTATTTGGAGATATGGTCTGTCAAAGAGCCTGGGTCTATGCAGTATAAGATTTTATAGACCATGGGCAGCACTTTGAATTGTGCTTGGAAACAGAGCAGTAGCCAGCGGAGCTGTTCTAACAAGGGAGTTGATTTGACAAAAATCGGCCATTTTATACCTCTTGAGACTTGGTGCAAGATGAAAAACACACTGCTTTATGAATCAAAACATTTGTGAGGCCTGACATATGTTTCAGAAAAATAACATGCACAGAAAATAATTCACATGTTTTACCGTGAGAGCAACCAAAAATGCCTACAGTTGAAAAATACATATAATCACATTCAAGTCAATGAACTGTGTACCTTTGGAAAGATGAAAATGAAAAACAAAAAAAGAGACACTGGAATAACTGTGGATAAGAATATGTATGTGACTATGTAACTATGTATTGTATATATGTATTTCTACCTGATAAAAAGGGGGGAATGAATTGTGTAGCTTAAGCAAAATGCATAAATATGTGCACTTTTCAGGAAAAATGCATAGAAAAAATGCCTGCAAATGTCAGTACAGGAAGAAAAAGCAAAAATCTTGCAAGCTCGCATGAGTAAAAGGTGAGATGAAAATGAAGATGAGATTCAGAGAAGCACAACGAAATGGGTACTGAAAGTTTTTCACGTCCTTCTTAAAGACATAATGTTTTGTAATATCCACCGTCCAAAGACATTTTGCTTTTGGAGACAAAATAAAAGATGGGCTGTTCCACATAAATAAGTCAACTAGACAAGCAGTTGTATCTTACTTCAACATGGCTAAGAGAACATCCTCCACTGCACCACAGCAGTGTAGCTATGGGGAGGGGAGAAATGAGGGCTTTCCTCCTGTAGGAATTCTGTCCCTCAATGAAATTTTCCTTCAGTCCACAAATTTTTAGCATTGCAGAGAATGGGACACTGAAAATTGTTAAACCTAGGATTCTTGTATTTCCTGTGTTCACATTCCCTTGCAATCATTGCTTGCTCCTTTTGTTTGGATGCCTAAAGCGCATTTGTAAACGCTTGGCTGAAGTTTTAAGTTACTGCAATGCCGAAGTTGGAGGACTGAAGGAAAATTCCATGGAGGAACAGAATTCTTATTGAAGTGGCAATGTCCTCATCCCGACCCCCATTAGCTAAATCCTAGCAGAGGCAATAGACTTCTTCAAGGAGTCCCAGGGTATATCTACACTGTAGCAATAAACTGCAAATGCCAAGATTGTGTAGGATGGAGCCAAGGCAATTAAAGTAGTATCAAGTTGCATTATTTCTACAGTATAGATGCACTCCCAGACAGACTTTATGATATGCAACAGAGGGGAATGGTGAGGGGCACAAAAGGAACATACAGGGCCTTGGGTCTGCAGCCACCCAATATCTATCATCCCCAACAATGACTTCAATCCAATTATAAGGCTGGCTCTGCAACAAAAGTCCCATTCCTTGAGCATGATGCAACTAGGATTAAAATTGAAAAAGTGTGGAAAGACATTTTATTAATACTTTAAATCCTGAAAAACATGGCTCATCATTTCAGCACTAGTTTGGACCCCTGCAAAATGGAGCAAAAATATTTGCCCAGTGAGACTGAGGACTGCAAAGTCTGTTCTCTTTTTGATTTAGCTTCATGATTTCTGATTGACTACAAGGTGTTACTTCATCATCACCCCCAGCTATGTAGCTTCAATACACTGGAACCAAATTTAACAGGAAAAATTAATCTGTAGTCACAGAGCCAGCATGGCATAGTGGTTTGAGTGCTGGACTTTGACTCTGGAGACTAGGGATCAATTTCCAGGTTGGACATAAAACTCACTGAGTGGTCTTGAGCAAGTCACATGCTCTCAGCCTCAGGGGAAGGCAATGGCAAACTTCCTCTGAACAAATCTTGCCAAGAAAACTCCATGATAGATTTGCCTTAGGGTTGTCATAAGTAAGAAATGACTTGAAGGCACACAGCAGCAGCAATAACAAATTTACAGATCCAGAACTTGCATTTTTGAGTCGTCTTCTGCTATCATGGGCATGTGGGATAGTCAAATAGTGCTTAAATGGTATACAAAAGCAGACATTACACACAGGAGGTATCACTTCTATTACCAAAAATCCTGGCTTGACAGCAATGGTGGATGCGTATCTATGACCTTAGAGAAATGAGCTGATCAACTTATACATGGGAATCATGCCATTCTAACAGATGGGCATGACTGAAGAACTCCAGGAGGTTGTATATATGCAACAAATATGGATGATAAGGGCAGAATTCCTGCCAGATTTGTCCAAACAGCTGCCCATTCTTCATTTATATGCAATGTGGATAAAGACTGGTGCTTTAATCAAACTTGGATTGTGTCGGAAGCATGATTTCTGTAAAGCATAAAACATACTATGAACTTGTGAGATTGTGGGAAACAATAGCACAGCATCCCTTTTGTGTATATTAACTTCAAAAGAATATAAATGTCAAATACACATATAGTGCATCTTTGAACATCAAGCAACAATAACCCAGCTACAATACATTAAAGATACATACGCAGATATTTGTCTTAGGCTGCCAATAATGAATGAAAATAATCCCAAATAAAGGAATGTAATAATTGCAGTAAACTCTGAATCACTGGTCAGAATTGTTTGTCCTACAGGCATGGCTGAACTGCAACTCCCAGCCACCCTAGTCAGTATAGCCAGTATAAATATGCTGGGAGAAATATGCAGCAACATCTGGGGTACTGCACAATGTACCTAAATCTCCAGAAGTATTATGAATGTGTATATTCATACAATGTATTTTCCCCATTCTAAAGTAACCTTCTGCTTCCTCTCTCTGCAGTTACCTGGGGTGCAACTGCACTGCAGAAATAATGTAGTTTGACAACACTTGAACTGCCATGGCTCAATGCTATGGAATTCTGCGATTTGTAGATTGTTGTGGCACCAGATCACTCTGACAGAGAAGGCTAAATATCTCACAAAACTCTAACTCCAAAATTCCACTGAGCCATGGCAGTTAAAGCAGTGTCAAATTACTTTAATTAATTAATTAATTAATTAAGGGCCTGTACAGACTGGCCAAAAGGGCCAGCTGGAGGTGGAGTTGGGGCAGGTGACCACATGCCAGCTGCCCTGACTCTGCCCTGATGCCGCACAGCATCACAGCACGCACCCCACTGTATGGCGCGCAGTGTCAGGGCGCTCCCTTGGCACAGCATACAGACATGCTGCACCAAAGGAGTGCAGAAGAGCCATGGCAGCAGCGGTAAGGGTGGCTTTTGCCACTCCAAAAAGGAATGGCATTTGCCAGCTCTTTTTGGAACAACAAAGTGCCACACTGGGGCTGCAGCATGCGGTTGCCGCAGCCCTGATCCGATGCTCCCAGGGGCAGCACAGAGCCGCTCCTTAAGGGCCATCTGTATAGCCCCTAAATTTGATGTAATGGTGGATTAAATCCAGAGTACACATGAGTAACATAAATAATAAAGGGCTTCCAAATGTCTTCAAATGTATCTTCTTTAATTTCTTCTCTTGCTAATCTCATTTTATATGTTAGCTTTCCTGATAGCCCTGTAGACCACATTCTGTTTATCTACTTCTGTAGTGAAAAATACTCTACTGTTTTCCATAATTTTACTATTTCTAATCTTGCATCATTTAGCAAAAGTGCTGCAAGATTTTATTGGGTAATCTTGTACTTTCATTTTCAAATATGGAAATCAATATTAGTGTTCCTCTATAATGACTCTATTCTTTGACATGGTATTTTACTCATCCAACTTAATTTTGTCCCCTAGACATTTACTATTTGGGGGCAGATTAGCCACCTATGGGGGGTTGCAGACTGCCAGAAATAGTGCAAATTGAGTCCACTTTTAGGATTAGGGTTAGGCAATCATGGGAACTGTATTTTATTGTGGCACCAGAGCTCTCTGACAGAGAAGGCTCAATGTCTCAGAAAAAAACAATTCCCATGATTCCCTAGCACTAACCCTAACCCTAAAAGTGGACTCAATTTGCACTATTTCTGGCAGTCTGCAACCCCCCTATGTTGCCAATCTCCTGTTTTACCACATCCTCCTCAGAATAACTTTGACAGTTCATAATTAGTTTTATGTAGTTTGTCAGATAATTGTACTATTTGTGTATTATTTTTAATATATGTTCTTTAGCCTGGGCAGATATTGATTGCTAGGTTAGAGTTGTTCAAATCATATCTGGTAATTCTATTCCCAAATCTGATTCCCATACAGTTTTCAATCCTTTAGGCTTTCCAGACTTTTTCTCTTGTAATAATTGATATAACGTTGAAACTTACCCAGTTCTATTTTTATCATTCCCACATAATGTTTCAAATAGAGTAAAAGTTCTTGGGGACCTCCTGATCTACTTAATTTTTTGATAAAGGTAGTTATTTCTACTAATTGTATCCAAGGAGGAGCTATTGGTCTAAGTTTATTCTTAAGTAAGTCTAATTGTATAGGTTTACCACTTATAAATAAATCCCTTATTCTATATATCTCTTTATCTCTCCTAATGGAGTTGAAATCTAACCTTTCTAACAACAGAAATTAAAGATTTAGATGAACTACTTCTGTCTCTGCATTGATGAACACAAATATTCTGATGTAACTCAATAGAATGTCTGTGATTTTACACCCCTGCAGTAAAGCCTAATGAAGCATATTCTATGTTTTGTCTGCAAATATATATTCAGGTTTTTTTTCCATAGTACTATTACAGTCGCCCCTCCATTTTCATGGGGGATCCATTCTGGACACACACACCCTGCAAAAGCAAAAAACCACAAATATTCAAGCCCCACTGTTTTGAATGGCTGCATGCTCCCACGCATGGACCATTTTATCCCTCCCCACTTGCTGGTCCGTGAAGGACAGAGACCACGGACTCGAAGTCCGCAAACAGGGAGGGACAACTATAGTTACAACAAACTATTTATTTTATAATCTAAGTGCAGAATCATTAAAAAAGTGTAAATAACATTAAGTAATTTTCTGATTCATTGACTAGGCATTAGAAAATGTACATTTTTTATAAGTGGACAAAAACACAGTCTGTCTTTTTAAAGAGGGCTGCTTTTACTGGTCTTGTTTTTTTATAACCATGTGAGATCATTTTCAGTCTGTTTTTCTTAAAATAATTTAATCAGGAGTCCAAAAATGCCCTCTCTCACATTATCCTCTCTGTAAGAATCTCTGCACATGCTCTGAAATCCACAATTCTACAGATATAGGTAAAAATGTACTACCTGACCTAAATTGTTTTGACTGATTGCTTCTAATTCTGTAGGTTACTTCCTTCTCTTTTTTGCCCCCATTTCCACTCCTTTTCCTAAACAACCTTTTTAATATATATCTGAACAATTGGTTACACTATTTTACAAGTTCTTTAGACCCATTCAAACTCTGCCATGTGTAAGACTTCAAAGTTGGTAAGCTACCACTTATACCTTTGTATTTCACATGGTTTTGCATGTCTTCTAAGGTTTGAACAGGTAATTGTAAAACACTTGTTTGTAGGGCTGGGCTGAAGGGGAGGCTGAGGCTGCTGCCACTCTGTAGAAAAAAGAGCAGTTTGACACCATTTAACTGCCATTACTCAATGCTATTGAATTCTATGATTTGTAGTTTTGCGAGATATTTAGCTTTCCTTTACAAGTTCTTTAGACCCATTCAAACTCTGCCATGTGTAAGACTTGGGACGTTATCACACGTGGGCCAGAAAGCGAAAATAAAGTGG